GTAAGCATAGTAGGAGGGGTAATAAGTATAATAAGTATAATAGGAGCTAGAGGAGGAGTAGGTATAAGGGTAGGGGTAGCTAGAGGTATAGGAGTAGGTATAATAAGGGTAGAGGTCTTAGTAATACTACTCTAAGTAAAGGTAAAGGTATATTAAATATTAGCTCTCTAGTAATTAAGATCCTATATTTAAAGTTAGTAAAAGATTAAAAAATACTTCTAAAATATAAAAAACACCTTTAAAATTAAAAAATACTTCTAAAAAGGTATTATACTTATAGCTTAGCTTATAGAGTTAGACTTTATAACTTCTTAGAGGTAGTAAGTAAAAAATATTATAATAGGCGCTAGAGGGATATAGGGATAGCTATAAGAAGTAGAGGTATATAAGATATATTAATTCTTCTTATAGTACTTTATACTAGAGGTATTAATAGGAATAAGTATAAAGTTATAATAGTAACTTTAGGTCTTACCTATAAGGGTAGACCTAAAGTACTCTTTATAAGAGACCTTATAGTAGAGGGGTCCTTAAGGAGCTATTTCTAAATAATTAGTATAATACTTTTAATAACTAAGACGCTTTAGATAGTATATATATAAGGTATTATATTTACCCTTATCTTTAACTTCCTTAATAGTAGGATAGGGGAGATAGGGGGGGGGAGGTATAAAGGGGCTAGGGGGTATAATAAGCTCCTTATTATTATTATTATTATTAGAGATAGAGGGGAGGCTATTAATAGTAGTAATAGTAGTATTAATAGTAGCCTTTTTATACTTATATACTTTATATATATAGGTAGCAGCTTTCTTCTTAGAGATAGGTATTATAAATTTTATCTATTAAATAATTAGTAAAGGTTTTAATAATTATATTAAGTAATCTAATAATTATTTTAATAATATATAAGTATTATAGTAGGCGATTTAGGATTTTTAAAAACTTATTTTTATAAACTATAAGTAGTCTAAAGAAGAAAAATTTAATTATAAGAGAGCGTAAGAAGTCTTATTTACCTCTACTACTTATACTTAATAGCTTATACTAACTATATTAGGAAATTTTATTAATTCTAAGTATATTTATAACCTATCTTAATAACTAAGTAACCCTATTAAGTACTTTTACGTTCTATAAATATAACTATAAACATTATTTTTATTTATCTATTTACTTTATTACTTTAAAAGCTATTTTTATATATTTTATATAATAAATTTAGATAGGTTTTAGGTATATAGTAGTGAGAAATAGGTTTTTTAGCTATCTATAATATCTAAGGGGGTATATTATAATACCCTCAATCTAAACTATAACCTCACCGCCTATCACATAATGTATAGTATTACATAAGACGTACGTGTGAATATTAGCCTATAATATAGACCACCCTTCTGAATAGTTACTCCTATAATACACCTTTATTCCTGATGACCTGCGCGCCTGTAACTCGCAAGACCAACCGGCTTTCTGCGTCCCCCACAGACTGACAGCACATCTGCTCAAACGATTACGACTGGTTTCATACATTCAATCAAACTACGTCGTCTTTGGAGCAAAATCAGCGATCGTCTCTATCCGCAGGTCCAGCCTCTTGCCATATCAGTCAGCACTTTGAATAATAGAGACTTTATCCAGGATATCCAACTGGAGCTTGAGGAGTGGTATGCTGAAGTAAGATTCCATGAAATAGACCCTGTCACGAATCCGCAATCTCTTTTTGCCTCTGGGAAGTGGTTTCAGCTTGACCGCCACTGTCTCACTCCAGACCGTTCGTTTGCTCTGGGACTCTATATGCAGATTGATATTCAAGATTCTATGGAGACTTGCGCCAATGTTTCTTCAAAGCTCTGTTTCCTGTTCAGAGAAGTACACGAAGGTACAGCTGTCCAAATCGCTTAGAGCATGGTGCATGTTCTGTTCTCAGCAGGTCTAAGCTATCTCGGGTGTCTATGGAAATCGAAGCGAGTTCGCGAAAAGGCCCAATAGATGGAGTCTTCGGCAACATTTGAAGCGTGCCTCTTAGTTCTCGCCATCGCAGAGGACTGGCATCCTGAGTCTCCATACCGCCAAATCTTCGAGAAACTGGCACAACGTACGATGAAGATGATTTCTGCCGGCGATGTCAATCCTTCACTTTGGAATCCCCCGAGTATAGTAGCAGTCGATGGAGTTCTTCAGGATGAGAATTGGTTCACTTTGGGAGGAGATATGGATCCAGTTGCACTCCAGGACTGGGACAACTGGCTTGGGGGAGCAACACATTGAGTTGGCCGGCTTTCTTCGTTATACATGTAGCTGGGACATATTCAATAATTTAAGGAGAAGTTGTCGTTTAGCTAGGTGTTTTTATTCATAATAGGAGGGGAGACACTGTAGCACCAAGTCAATACAAGGTGCCGGCATTCATCGGCCGGAGTTGTGGGTCCGCGGGCGACCAGCTCCGACGGAGCTTGTGTGGGTCCCTCGGCTGGGTGGTGGTTGGTCAGTGCTTAAACCCGTCAATCGCCACTTTCTTTCCTTTCATTGACATCACGATAATCGTCGCGTCTCCTCGCGCTCATCCCTCAACCGACCATGCGCATACTGCTGACGCCTGTTGGTGCGCGTGACTGGAAATATGGCGACTAGATTTGCGAGAACGTCTTTCGTCTGCGGGCGCTGCCTTCGAAACACCAACCGAATTGAATCCAGAATCCGAGCTACCCCGCGATTTTACTCCTCCGAACGAGCTACCGAAGCTGCCGAGACGCAACAGAAGCAAGATGGGCCTCCGAAAGAGAAGGGCGCAATGTCACGCAGACTGGAGGAAGCTACCGAGGAAGCTCTGTTGACGGGAGGCCGTGCTGGACGACGAGCAGTCGAGGATGCGGGGTTTGATCAAGAGCTCAAGGAGAAGCTTCTCGACAAGGTCCAAACAGCCAAGTTCACATCCGAATTTGCGTCCGCCTTTGCCGAGGCTGAGATGCCCACTTCCGCCGCTGAAGGAACTCGAATCATGGCGACAGCGCAGCCCTGGACTGGCGAGGAATCGCAATCTGACACTGCACTTCGCATGCTGAATGATGCGAGGAAGCCCCTCAAGCCCGAGCTGCGGGGGAAATACCAGATCCCACCAGTTGACATGCGGATACGACGAGAACCGAAAGTCAATGCTGGCCAGCGCGCGGCCAACGCACGCGAACGAGCGTCGACGTACACCGGTATGGGGATGAAGGAGAAGAATGGGCTCAGCGATGCCGAGCGGGAGGAGATGAGGAAGACATTTCGTGAGCGGTTCGAGCCAGGGGCTAGAGCGATGCCGAATACCATATCTGGGCTCGCTGCGCTGGCAAACGAGAGGATAGAAAACGCTATTGCCCTCGGGCAGTTCAAGAACATCCCTCGCGGCAAGGGCGTTGAGAGAGACACTAGGGCGGATAATCCGTTTATTGATACGACGGAGTACATCATGAACAAGATGATCAAGAGACAGGAGATTGTTCCACCTTGGATTGAGAAGCAGCAAGAGCTGGCAAAGGTTGCGGGTGCTTTCAGGGCAAGGTTAAGGAACGATTGGCGGCGGCATGTCGCGAGGATGATTTCCTCTCGAGGAGGCAGCCTCGAGGAGCAGACGCAGAAAGCCGAAGATTATGCACGCGCTGAAGAGTTGCACAACCCGCGCAAGAGGAACAGCGACAGCATTTCAGTGCCGACAAACTCAACGGATGACATCGTCATGGTCAAGATGCGGCAGCAGGCGGCGGAGGATGCGGCAGCCAAAGATGGAGCTGTCGCGGCTACGAAAGAGTCCTCGGCACCTCCGGTAGCCCCGTTCCGCGACTCGGATTGGCTTGAGAGCGAACGCTCGTATATGACCCTCGCTATTGAGAACATGAACGCCATCACGCGGTCATACAACCTCATGGCACCAGAGCTGGCGAAGAAACCGTACTTTTCGCTGGAGCGCGAACTTAGTGCGTGTTACGCCGACGTCGCGCCACAGGTAGCCAGCACCATTAGAGAGAGGGCGACAAGACCTGTTAAGCCGATGTTCGATTCGGCTGGCGCTGGACCGGCGGCCATTTTTGATCGGTTTAGTAAGGAGGGCCAGACGGCCAAGATCTACGACTCGAAAGCTCCTCATTACGGGTTCAAGGAGATGTGGAGAGACATATGGAACTGAGTACTTTTCTCTCGCTTAGACAACAATTGAGCCGAACCACCTTCACAGGCAACATGCAGTCTAAGAGAACGTCATGGCCACACAACCAACGAATGTTCGATGGGATTGCTCAACTGGGCAGTGTAGACTGCGCTAGTGTGCCGCTATGCGCCACATTGTGCGTCGCTTATCGCTCTCGTCGCTTTACTCGCTTTGCGACCGCATGAGGCATCCAAACGACCGTCTCAGGCAGGAAACCGCCTAAGCGGCTTCAGACCCCTTGGAGGAAACGGGTAGACTAATGCTAAGCTCATGCCAAGGCTCCATCTTTTCTTGCGAATCGACACTTCGCAGCACCAAAGTCCCTTCTGCTTTCGTTGTCGCCTTTGCGCAGCGCAGATCTGACCCCAACTTCGACCGCAGCAATGGACTGCGCCGGCTGTCAGCTAGGGCTGAAATGGATCTGGTCTCTCCGCGTAAGGCACCACATTGCCCGCGTCAGGCATCCAGTTGATGCAGAGTAGGCAATATCGTGAGGCAGTGATGGGGGCTGTTGGCGGTTGCCTTGCTTTACATGATAGACCAAAATGCATCTAGATCGGCAAGCAGCTTGGTCATTTTGCATGAGTCTTGTCGCTCACCCACCTAGCTACTGTGCTCGACTACAAAGATATAAGGGTCTTGGCTTTCCTCCTGTCGGAAAACCTCTAATCCCACATCAACTCCAAAAGGTCTATCTCAGTCTTGGGCAACATATAATTATCAAATATTCCAACCTCATTTATACTTAGCTTCACCATCTCCCCAGAAAACCCGTCCTTTAATACACGCACTGCTCATCCAAGTCGACAACATGGCCGTCTCAGATAAATACTCCCTCGCGGTCCTCATCATCTTCATTACCCTTTCTATCCCCACACTGTTCGTCACATTTAAACATGGCGTACGAGGATGGGCAATTCTCGGATGGGGTTATCTCTTCATCTTTTGCAGTTTGAAGATTATCGGCTCCGGCATGGCCTTGGGCGACCCTCAGAGCAGCGGCGCCACCATCGTCTCCAGCGTTGGCTTGTCACCTCTCCTGCTCGCACTTTCTGGTGTTCTACATGAGGCGTTAGTATCCCATCTCAGCACATCAGGCCGCGGCACATAACTGACGTTGCATTTCACAGTCGATTCTACCACACCAGCCTGTCTAAGTGCAGCGCAAACCACAAGCGAGACCTCATTTTCGTCCTTATGTTCCACATGTTCACCATGTTAGGTGTCGTCCTCATCGCGATCGGCATGTCCCGCCTCATGAAGCACGCCTCTCCCGACGACGTCTCCAAAGGCTGGACCCTCGCCAAGGCCGGGGCCGTCATCATCTTCCTCAGCTGGGTAGCTCTCGCTGCAGGTGCCGCCTTCACCGTTTTCCAAGGCTACATGCGCAGTGCCGGCCGCCCTCAGAAGAAGGCCGCCGTCGTGCTCCTCGCAGCGGTCCTCTTCGCGCTGCCGTTTGTGGGCGTGAGAGTCATCGCGACGCTGGCATATGTCGTATCGGAGAACAGCTCGCTCAGCGCCGCGACCGGTTCTGTGATGGTGAAGGTGTGGTTGTACCTCTTTGAAGAGCTGGCTGCCACGCTCATCCTCGTGATCAATGGTGCTTTGGCCAGGAATGTCAAGAAGCTCGATCAGGAGTCTGTTGTCAACGGAGGATGGGAGACCCGGCCGGCAGATGCGGAGCAACAGGCCTACGAGCGGAAGTAAGACTGAGGTGCATTTTTTATGATGTAGCTAGTAGGGACTTTAGGTACTGCCAGCTTTTGATATACATTTTCACTTGTCAGACTTTGCCTCTTTCAGCTACGGCCACAAGATAGACGCAGGCCCAGATTTAGCTGCTGAAGTTTTATTCTCATTGGTCACGAAGAAGTAAAAAACGGTGTCTTATTCCGAAGTAAGCGCCGCTGACGCAATCTCATGAGCACATTGTCACGATCAGCGACGCTTTGTGGGCCAACTTCATTTGACAACATACTGCTTTTGTTTAAACGCTCTCGATGGTAATTTTATGATTTCTATTGCGGTAATAACTGAAAAGAAACATGGGCCAGTCTCGTAGGTCACATACCAAGTCACGAAACGGGTGCAAGGAATGTAAGGCCAAGAAGATTAAGGTGAGCAGGTTGTGGGCATCACTTCAGCACCTAATTTCACCTCAATGACTCTGACAAACGCATCTATAAGTGCGATGAACAGGTTCCATGTGGTCGCTGCAGCAAGTTCTCCTTGGCCTGCAGCCTGTCCACAGAGTCTACCACTTCAACCAATCCTCCACGTCACTCTCTAGCATCAAAACCCATCGACAGCATTGACAGCAGCAGCCCTTCAACCTCCATCGACACCTTTGAGGCTTCTGACTTTGCTCTTTTCAATCACTTCCTGACGACGACTCTTCCATGTCTTGCTCTCAAAAACGAGGCGCTGCTCATGTCATGGAAATCAGACCTTCCCAATCTGGCACCCAAGTTTCCTTACCTCCTGCACGAAGTTCTAGCTGTATCAGCCATTCATCTCCATCATCTCAATCCCGGAAGCTTGATCAACTACCAGCGCGTGGCATGGGGCCACCAAGCCAAAGCCTTTAGCCAGTTCCGCGATGCGTTGTCCCCGGAAGTGGCTGCACACCAAGTACACGCCCTCTTCGCTTGCTCGGCGCTCATGTCCAACTACTACTTCGCCTCATTCGAAGACCCCTCTTCACTCCTATTCACTAGCGACCCTCCTGGACCTCCTGAATGGATATTTCCCGTTCGCGGCTGCGCAACACTCGTCCGCCAGCTCAGAGGTCCTTTGGAAGCCAGCACGTCGTGGACAACCCTGCAGTCATCTTTGGACACCTGGTCTGGCAGCCCTCCATGTCCAGAGGGGCCTGAATGGGAGCCGGAACTTCAGTCTATGGAGGCAAAACTATCAGCCCTGTCGCTGTCGTTTAGCCAACATCCGAGACCTTTGTACGAAGAGGATTGCCAGCTGTTGAGAAAATGCTTCAAAATAGCAGGTAAGGCCGGAGATGCTTCGTGTAAGGTCTCAGCAATGATGTTCGGCGGCGCGGTATCCGATGAGTTCTTGAAAGACATGACTGAACGCAAGCGTCCTGAGACTCTGGTTATGATGGCTTTCTGGTGCGTCCTGATAAGTCGTGTGAATCAGAGGCACTGGCTGAGAAGCGAGTCGGTACCAGAGGCTATTCTGGGTGTGATCGAGAGGCATCTACCGCCGGAGTATTTAGAGCTGATACGCTGGCCTGCGCAACAGATTAGGTCTGCACATGGCGATGTACCCATGCAATAGATCAACCAAAACAAATCACAGCAATAAAAATGTTCTTGCACCTGTATTAGCCGTGGAAACAGTCTCTTACCAGCTCATACCTGATATTGAGAGACAAACTCAATGTCACGCTCGTCATGTGCAACAAAGCCCTACAAACCAATTCTTGTTACTTCGAACTCATCAATCTGTCTTTGGAAGATCCTCTCGACGGTGGAAACGAACCATCAAAGCAGGTTTCTTCCACATGAGGAATAACCGCGCCTGGCCCATCAAATCCACCTCTTTGCTAACCAGCTCCCAGTCATACAAGAAGACCATCTTGGCCACAATAATCTTCATCTCCAGATACGCCAAATTGGACCCCAGACATGCTCTTGGTCCCTTCGAAAACGGTTGACTAGCTTCCTTGTTGTCTCCATAAGAATCATCGAGCCAGCGCTCCGGTATGAATGAGTACGGATCCTTCCAGTATCGTGGGCTGTGCGATGTAGCCCACTGGTCGACACTAACCGTAACTCCCTCCGGGATCATGTGTCCGTCGATAACGGCTCCGGGACACGTGCGCGGCAATCCGAAGGAAGCAGGCGAGAATATCCGCAAGCTCTCCTCGATGACGGCGTTGAGGTACGGCAGCCTAGACGCAGACTCGCCCGTGATTTCTTCGACAGATCCAAACGCATTTCGTACCTCTTCGCTCAATTTGTCAAGACGTGTTCTGTCTTTGAGCAGATAGTAAGCCAGGGCAAGCAAGCATGTTGCCGTCGTCTCGGAGCCGCCCACAATCAGCGTACTGGATTGGTTCACGAGCTCTGCTCTGGACACCTCATTTCCGCCTTTGCGCAGGATGTAGGAGAAGAAATCGTCGCGATGTGCCGAGTCGCCCATTTCAAGCCGTTTATCGAGCTTCTCCCCGGTTAATCTGTTGTGCATTGCGTACTTGGCGGCGGAGTCCTTGGGGAGCATGAATGGGAGGATTAGATTCATGAGGGGGAGTCGCCTGCGGAGACTGCTGAGCATGTTGAAGTAACCGCCGTCAATGATGATGGAGACCCAAACGTTAGTCTTTCCTTGGCCTACTGCATCGAAGGATTCGCCAAACGTCAGGTCGCCTGGAACGATGGACCACGTCAGTATGGGGATTTCAGCCGCACCACAACCGTATCTGTGGTCAACGTCGGTGAAAAAGACGTATCATACCGATGATATCAAAGGTCAACCAAGTAAACGCTTCTTCCATGTTAATGCCAGGTCCCCCTGCACAGCCAATCCGCCCCAGTTGTGCGAGGAAAAGATCGACGTATCGATGGATGACAACCTCTTGATCATGCAAGGCTTTTGCGCTGAAAGCGTGTGCTAGGTATCGCCTCTGTCTCGTATGCTCCTGAGGGTCTAGAACTGTGACGATGTCAGGTTGGTCACCTGTAGTCTGATACCACGATGTTTTGTAGAATGGCCGTTTGCCCTTCATCGTATGACCGTAAATGTCGCGATAGGCTGGAACCGTGGCGAATGACAACTCATTTGGTGCTATCCGGACCACTTCTCCTATGGTTCATGACAAGACTGCTTCAGCACGAGCTACGATACATGATCTGTAGCAGCGACTGACCATATTTGAGATGGGCTTTCTCCATGATAAATGGATGTCGGCCAGACGTCCATGCCAAAGCATACCACAGCTACAAATCATATGAGCGAGGATCTAATTTTCAGTGTAAACTTGGACCTACATCTGAAATGGCGGCCAGCTTTGGTCCTGGAAACTTAGCCAGTGGGTGAAAGACGAGCCGGTAGATGCATATGACGAGGAAGTATGAGGCCTCAAAAATATTACTTGTTAGCCGGTGGGATCGGGAGTGCAAAGTTGCGCTGCAAGCCACTTACCACTGCAATGGTCGAGACAGCGATTAATGCTGTCGAGTACCTCATGCTCATCATCGCTAGTGTGGGAGCTTGATTCACGATTGAAAATTTTCTCGAGATAAAATAGCCGCCCGGTGGCTCTGTGTACTGAGGATCAGTCCCAGAGGTATCGCATGCAATCCTGCTGCGGCAGACAGATTGTGGAAGCGGGTTCCTGGTGCTTTTAATTTGGAAATAACCACCGAGCTGCTCCCCGCGGCATTTCCGTATTCACCATTAGAAGGCATTGAGTTCATACGCAGGTAAAGCTTAGCGGAAACCCTATGGTTACGAGTCGCGACGCGTCAAAACCTTCCTCAGCGCTGCCAGTGGGAAGGTTACCGAGACCGAGCGATATCACGGAAGAGGCAATACCTCGGAGGCTCGGGGCCAAGATGGAAGCCTACCTCAAGAAAGAGGCGATGATTACGGAATTCGATCCACGGAAACCATGGGAATATGTACGTTCGCACCGATGATGTCAGTTGAGGTGGCCGCCATGATCAAAATTTGGTTTTGATTGGAGTATACTTCGACGCTTGGCAAAATTTTGCCATTCTTCGCAGAAATAAACTGAACAGGTGTGATTGCGGTAATATCACAGCTGTGCAACCTGATATTTGCTCAAATGAAGGCGAACCGTAGCTCCAACTATCGCAGGGCGTTGTGTTAGATGGAGAGAGCACATGCAAACACTTCTTTGGCGCCGTCAATTTGAACTACTCAATATGTCGCTTCATGTTCGTTTTAGTTACAGGAAATGCTAATATCTGCTCAAAACCGGGTTCAGGTCTTGCATACGCGCGGATGACGATATGGGAATGCATTGGTTGTGGTACCAAATTATGCTAGACGATTATCATAGATGGTTAAGAAATATTTAATAATATTATTATGAGGTTGCCTTTACCAGTACACAACTCCAGTGATGTTAATACGTTTCCCCAAGGCATCATACTTTCACCGCCTAGAGTTATCCGCCAAATAGCTGAATCATGCTCTGCAACTACTTTACTTGAAGGAGCGCCTCCGCAAGTCTAGAACTAGCTTAGTGGGGTTTCCTCAAAGCGCTGTTCTACCGGAAAGCATTTGGAAGCCTTCACAAAAGTAAGATTTCTAGAGAATCACATGAATGATTCTACATCACCTGCAATGAGGTTGGGGTGTCGTTCTTGGCTATCTGCTACCTACCAGGCTAACATCTGTCAACCCAAAAACCTAAGTGCCAGCCCCGATCTCTACAATTAAGGGGAAAAACATCTAAACATCATACCTAAAAACACGGAAATCGAAGACCTTGACGGCGTTGACATTCAAACAGCCAGGACACACACGCAAAGAAGACGTCAACGGCGCTGCCCCTCTCGCCAAGACCCAAGCCGTCCCCCTGGCTAAATGAGAATGTCTTCAACCGCTAGTGTCTAAGACACGGATGGGCGGCAATCGGAATGCAGACCCATAATTGCCGTCAGCCGAGAGAGTCCGAATCAACTTGTCTGTTTTTGACACAGGAGAGTCTCTGAAGGGATCACCTGCTCTGGTGTCTGCTGAGGCGCAGTGTGGGTTATGTCTTTGAGCCTGATGAGAACAGTTCCTTCTGTGGCTGTGTAGGAGGTGATAATGGATCTGGGAGCTATTCCTGTGAAGATGGTCTTGAACATCATCTTCCTGTCGCGCGGGAGGGAGGAAGATTTGCTTGTTAAGGGAACTATGAAACGCGGCTGAAAATTTGTCCTAATTTTTCATCTGGAGAATTGGTATGTGCTCACACAGTTGTTTCAAAATGTCCTTAAAACTGACTGTCGAGAGAGTTAGGGTATTATCTGTCATAAGAGATAAGCAAGTCTCTTAAATAGGATCTCCTTACGCTCATCACCCCAAATAAAGACATTGCAGCAAAATCGACACTTGCCTGCTACCAAATTGTGAACTAGATCAGTGGAACGATTGACGTTAAAGGAGTAAAAGGGTGGTCGCCCTCAGCAAAATAAAAGGATTGGGCCCTAACCAGGGATCGAACCTGGGACCTCTCCCATGCGTGCTGACTGCTGTCAACCCTAAGGGAGAATCATACCGCTAGACCATCAGGGCGATTGAACCAGACCACTGGCTCGTGTCTGAATTCGAAAGTTTGCATACTATGACCCTTTCATTGTCCCTCTCATTTCTGATCATCGTTTTGACAATTCTAGTGGCACCTCCAGCGCTCGCTGATCATCTCGTCTCCCCCAATAGCGCAAATTGACGCCCAGCGGCGCATGCACAGAGCGCTCTGCGCCAGTCATCCAATGCCAAGCAATTCTAGAACGCCTCCTAGGCCCCCGTCTGGCCAGCAATAGTTTCTGGATCCCGCAAATCACCCCAAATTAAACCAGAAAAACAAAAGAAGCATCCGCCCCATCTGGCATACAAGCAACGCTGCTGAGCCTCTCGATCCAGCGGGTGATCGCTCAATGCAGCGAAGAGCGATCTTCAGGAACGGGCATTTCCTGCCTTAGTGCGCTTGCGTTCCTCCTGCCCTGCCGGGGCAACAAGCCCGGCCGCGTGCCATTGACGACCAGTGGTAGGTAGCCGATGCTGCGCTGAACATGGCGTTCCCTGGCACATGCACTGCGGGCGGATGGGCGAAATGGAAAAGCACAATAATAACAGAAACGCTATTCTTAGAGGCAAACAAATCAATCAATCAATCAATCAATCAATCAATCAATCAATCAATCAATCAAGCAATCAAGCAATCATCCAGGCCCTATCATCCGCTATCCGGGTGCATCCCACATGCAGCTACCGGTACGCTATAGCCTAGATGCGGCCTTTCAAATTCTTGTGCTGTTTTCTGTTTCTCACACAGCCTGCATGTTTGCCAGATTCTTCTTTTTCGTCAGGTCGTCTGAACTTTTTGTTTCTTGCGGTAAACAGCAATAAGCTTGTCTGTCCAGCGCTTGTGCGATACAACCCCCCGTGCCCCCTAAAGCCCCCCAGGCGTTCGTTCACAGGCCTAAAAAGACCAGACGGTTTTAAGGAGTCAAGGGCCTCCGTCGAGGGAGAAACATGGCAAAACCGCCGTTCCCTGAGACCGGCAGTAGCTCCGCTTCCTTGCCCTGACGAGGCCTATG